CATTTCTAAGGTTTTTAATTTCTTTTTTTAGAGTTCCTTAATTTTCATTGTAGAGGTCTTTCACCTCTTTTGTTAGATTGATTTTCCATAGGGTTTTCCTAAATGGGATGAAGTCCCACTTCTCCATTGTGTTTTCCAAGTATAGCTTGTTGATATGAGTATGATTAATGTTTCCTTTTCTGGATAATTTATACATCTAGTATACCAAAATTTCTCATTTTAAAATACTATGTATAAAACAATGCTGACATCCTAAAAATTGGTGTAAAGGGAAAAATCTTGAAATTCAATTATCTGCAAAAATTGTTTTGAACATACAAGTCATTATCTTTTAAAGAGACTCTAACTGCAGGAATCTTCACAGAGATTTCTTCTCTTTTTAAAAAAAATTAATTATTGAGACCAGATGATATAAACATTTCATTTTATGAAGTTTACTACTTTATTCCTATTCCTCTGGCATTTGTTGGCCAATTAGTACTCTATCAATCCTTACAGTATAATAAATATGGGATGAATACACCACACACACACACACACACACATACACACACACCACCACCACCACCACCACCACCACACAGAGCTTTAACCTCTTATTATTATGCATTTCCAAACATGACTTCACAGATACATTAGTTGCTAGTGAAAGAATATATATAGTGTACTATGCATAAACTTTAAGAATTTTTAACTTTTTAATGTAAATTTTACTTTTGATGAAACACTTAAAAATTTCCATTATTTAAGAAAATCAATGTTTTATACAATATAATATATAATTTATATAAAATATGCACAACAATAAAAATAAACATTTCTGAAATTGCCATCCTGAAATTTTCAAATCTAGAACTAGATCATTATCATTAATTTACATCTTTATGTTCCTCCTTTATCCCATTTCCTTGTCCACTCTGTCCACTGAATCAACAACAGGAAGTCTACAAGTCTATGATAGTGTGAAAATGATACACATTTAGCTGAAACTGCACTTCAAATTTTGAATATTGATTTTTTTTCATACTAATGATATTGGGTATAATACTCGTGCACTGCTGGGCAGCAGAATGAGCCACAGTTCCCAGTCTGCCACACAAATCACCAGACTAAACAACTGAAAGTCTATAGTGTAATGGGTTGCTAGATTATGATGTTTGGTAGGCTCATTACGTTAAATTCAGGTGGGTTTTTTTTTTTATTCTTTTTGGTGGTGTTAGGGATTGAACTCAGGGCCTTGTGCATGCGAAGCAAGCACTCAACAAACTGAACTATATCCTCAGCCTCTAAATGCAGTTTTTGACTTCAGTATTTTCAATTTATGATGATTTTCAAAGATACATCATTTTCCCAGTGGCATTTCTTGTTGAATAGATAAAGCAATCATGAAATTCATATGGAAAAATAAAAGACCCAGAATAGCAAAAACAACTCTAAGCAGGAAGTGTGAATCAGGCGGTATAGCGATACCAGACCTCAAACTATACTAAAGAGCAATGGTAACAAAAACAGCATGGTACTGGTACCAAAACAGGCAGGTGGACCAATGGTACAGAATAGAGGACACAGTAACCAATCCACAAAACTACAACTATCTTATATTTGATAAAGGGGCTAAAATCATGAAATGGAGGAAGGATAGCATCTTCAACAAATGGTGCTGGGAAAACT